CCTTCCCTCACCCCCCCTGACGTTTTCGATCCTGTACCAGTGCTTGAGCTGCGGCGCCGCATGATGATCCGAGACTGGAGCAGAGTCCGTCCAGAAATTTTGGCCAAGGTGATTCTTGGCAGTTGCGGGGTCTTCGGTTGAACCAGCAGAAGCTGTTCCACTCTCATTTCTGGAAACATTAGTTAAATGTTCGCAAACCATCGCCGCTGTGACTTATATGTTGTTATAAATCGAATATTAACTATTCATCTAATAACGTATCAGAGTTAAGCTCTAGCGCAAGCTTTTCCTAAGAAAATGATTGAAACTTTTCGTGCTGCGTTTCTGTCATTTGTGAGAAACGTCTTACTGATGCTGTTCACGTTTGACGGACCATTAAGAGAAAATTGGCGATTACATCTATTCACGTGCAAGCGTATCATTCGTAAACGGTAGGGACTTAGCATAAGACGCCAGTCGGAAAATCAATTTCCACATGCAAGTGAAAAACTTCATCAAGCAAGGGTATAAAAACACTGAAATATGCATTTCAAATCATTTAGTTAAACATGTGTTGATGCATAGCTAGCAACGATCATTACGGTATATATTTCTTCTACCTATCAATTCAATGGAGTGATCAGCCAACGCCAAAGTTTAGGAAGATTTTCCAAAACTGTTCATGCTGAATAATGTGTTAACTGCCATTACGTTGCCTGAGAAATCAGTTGGAAGTTGATACGGATTTTACCTGGACACTACTATCGGTAAGTCAGTCGCAATGCACAACACAGCATCATTTTAAATGACGAACAAAACAACTCAGTAGATGGTGAATCTCTTTGAAACGAAAATCCAGAATCCAGTGTTTCTGCTCCGTCGAGGCTGCGGTAGAGGAATGGTAAAAATGCTGAACTTCGCCCCGAAGATGGCAATTTGGACACAAGCCAAAATGCAAACTAAGAGCTCATATGTTGAGTCTGTCGAATTGAGAGTTTCGACCATTAAAACAGTCCACTGCATGCAATGCATGCTGCGCAATGTCGTCTCTTCTACAGAGCATGGTAATGTTCCACTGCATCACACAGAGTTCAATGCTGATCTTGCGCAGGATGCTAGAACCGCACTGCACTTATGTCTGTCACAGTAAGGCTAACTTATTCGA